CCTGGCACCGTGGAAAACAAGAATCCGTGACTGAGTGTGGGCCACACACTTGGATTAGCTGTAGATAGGAGCGGGAGTGTGAAGATCTAACAGCTATACCGGAGGCGAGGACTTCACTGACTTTATCGGTTTGGACTATTACTCATCTGGCAGAAGGTACCCTGCTTTTCTTTTATTTTGCTCGCAGTAGCGAAGAAGCTTCTGAGTTTTCCACGTACACAAGGATCAAAACAGGCCTGCAACATATCATTAATTTGGGGTTTGCAGGCTTTAGGTTTAGCTAATGAATGCTAAGTACTGTTGGACTATGACAGTTGGTGCAAATCTTGTGTGTGTGTGTAATTTTGTGTTTTGGACAAGAGCCTGATATTTATTTTACTTATAATTTCATTTAATAAAGGGGGTTTATTGTGTTCACATTCTACCTGGTGTTAAATGGTATTTGAGTCTGTGCCTCAGTAAAAGAGTGTGTAGCTGTGCTTAGTGCTAAACTTTAGTACAGTGCTTGGATCCAAAAGTATATTACCTGAGAGGTAATTAAAAAATTAGATTAAGTTGTTAGAACCCAGAGCCCACTCAAGTAATTGCTGAGCTAAGAAGGGCTACACGTTAATAAAAAGACCCTTATTGTAAAGTGTTACCTAAAAGACAAATGGTGTCTGTAATTGCTCACAGATGCTAATGTGCATGCAAACACAGTTTTGCTCTCTCACAGTACAGAAATCACATTTCATTTACATCTTCTCACATTATATCCACGTGCTTGGTGTTTAGTGTGCACATGCAGAATATGAGTTCATGAGTTAGCCAGCATACAGCAGACTTAAAAAAACTAAAATTATGTTAACATGAACTATTTTTCTTTCCTACTGGTGACTTTCCGTGATTACATTCTGACCCCTACTTCACACTAGAAGCATCAGGGGAGCAGAACGGCAGTGGAACAGTGTTGCTGTGTGCCAGTACACCGGGACCATCTCAGCTCTGCTGGACTCGCGAGATCACAAAGTCCCGTGAGTTTATGCCATCTGCCATTAAACCAAAGAGATGGAAATCATGTTTGATGTCATTATGATGTTGTTCCTCTCCATTGCCAGGATTAAAGCCATGAAAAACCCACCGCTGCGCTTCTAGAACAATACTGGGAGTAAAAATGCTGTTAGGTCACACGTATCGACATAATCTGCATAGATAAGAACTCACATAGCTGAACTAGTCTTGCATTTTGAAAATTACCGGGTGTTTTACACTGAAAACGTGTGATTTCCTGTCTAGTCCTTTGTTAAATATGGAAATTGATGTTTCCCAGAAGCAGCTCGTAGCAAAAATAGAACCCGATCCTATCTTTAGCAGCGCAGAGAGCTGCTTTTGGGAAGATTTCTGCGTCGCGGCTGGTTTGAATCACCCCCATAGACTGTAATGGATTTTATTTTATGGCAGTGACGTCCTGCTGCCGTTCCGCACCGCTGATGCTTCCAGTGTGAACTAGGGGTTACCCACAAAAACTAAAATATTAATGGCTGGCGTGCTTGTGATGCGATAACCAAACCTCAGACAATACATCAGTGAGATGTTGCTGAAGGGGGACCACCCTGTCTGTGTTTTGCTATATTCACCAAATTAGCTTTATTTCAAGAATCAAATGTTTGTTTTTATTCTGATGTTTCCACATCAGCGTTATGTTTTACGTTTCAATTAAACCTGTGCAACACTCTTAAGGTTTAGTGTCCTAGTAATGGACGTGCATGTCCCAGTGTGAGGGCTTGTGGTGCAGCATGTGTGAGTGAGCAGCTGGAGCGGGAAGCAACGGAGCAAAAGCTGAGTCTGGCAGCCTGAGTTAGCAGCAGCCTCACGCAGTGATAATCTATAAGCGTTTCAAAAGCAGATGGGCTGAGTTACCTGCACTCCTCTTATTGTTACACAACTTTTCAAGCAATAAACCAACATTGTCAGCATCCCTTTAGCAGGCGTTTGATAACATCATCCCTAATGTGCTCGCTGAAAACCGCTGAGGTGAAACAAGCATGTAGACACAGTGGTGAGCAACATATTCACCAACACACCAAACATCAGGTGAGGGGCTCTTTTTGTTTTTTTTTAGAATTCCTGTCAGAGTCTGTAAACCCAAAGTGTAATGTGCAATAACAAGGTGTGATTATCTCAGGTGGGCCAGAAGGTGAAAAAGCTGTTGCATCTCCACCTGCTGGAACCTTGGTGACCTGTGGCACTCGCACACATGCAGCTTAAACGCGAGTGCTCACTTCCTGCTGTCCCACTCAGCCCAACGTCTCAGTGCTGACTGCAAAACTCCACACAGCACCAAAAGAAATAAAGGTCGTGATTTGTCAGCATGTTAGGAGGAATGTTTTGATATTTTAGAGAAGAGCAGGCTAACTCTGATACAATTTGATTCAAAAATGGTATTAATATTAATGTAAATAATGTAAAAACGCTCTCCAGTCATTGATCTGATGTTTAGATTTCAGAAATCACTGGCTCAACAGCCCAAAATAAAAATATATTTAATGAGTTCAGTTGGATTTAGGAAGTTAGTCAGGACGAATGAATCAGCTTGCTTCATTATTCTTGTCAAGCTTTTAGTGAAACAAAAACATTTAATCACAGAGAAATCAGAAATATGATGAAGGTGATGGGCTTGTAAACATCTGGTCTGCAGTCTTCAAGTGGCGAATAAACATCTGCCTAAACTGTTTGTCATGTTTGGCTTTAAAATGTTTAATCTAAGCAACATACAGTTCAACATTTGATCTGGTACACTGAAGTATTCAGTCATGTGCAGCATGTCTGTGAACAAGCATCAAAGGCACTTTGTGTTACGACAGTTAAAGTAAATTTGCTGAATTCAATTCAAAGATGCTTTATGAATCCCAGAGGGAAATTAGAGTTGCAGTACACACAATTCTGAGATCAGACATACATACATAGACACATGACAAGAATTGGTGACTGTGGTCATTCACAACCCGAGTCGCGCTACCTTAATAGAGATCAGAGGGTTATTGTGAGGATAGAGTCAGGTGGAGGAAAAAAAGGCCCTTCAGAGTTACCCTCCACAGGGGGGGCAGCTTTGCTATGCAAAAGACCCCTCAGACAGAAATGCAACAGACTTCAGACATTACACAACATGTGTCCACTAGGTGGGGCAGTAGGGTTGGGGACTTTCCTCACATCAGTGCGTGCAGCCGCAATGAGCAGCGCTCATCACCTCCGTTTGGACAGGGGAGGGAGGTAACTGGGTTAGAGGGCACAGTGAGTCCTGGAAACGGTTCCACAGCCTTTATCGGTCACAGTCCCACCCGGGCTGGGATAGGGAGACAGAGTTGCCATGGCAATGGCAGCATTCCACATTTCTTCTGAGGGGGAGTAATCACTTCAGCCTCACAGGCTCAAGGACACCAGGTTCAGATAAGAACTTGTTTTGGGGCCAGACAAAGATAATTTCCTCTCTGTCTTAAAATTCTGTTGGTCTCCAACCCCTCTAGATCCAATAATGGCGTAAATTAATCTATCCCAATCCGTGCTGATTCATCCACTTTCTCCTTGATGGAATCCACCTTCTATGCCAGAGTCTGAATCTCAGCCAATGTTCCAAGCTTACGACTCATCTCGACAATTATATGAGTTTGTGTGTTCACAGCGCGATGTAATCCATCCCTGAGCTCCGGGATTGAGCCAATATTCCTTGAAAGCTCATTAATTTTCCGGTAAGCCAGGTAACCACTCAGGCCAAACAGCAGGAATCCCAACACCAACACCACGATAAATATCCAGACATCTTCAGAATCCTCTACAGGCAGTTGAGAGAGGCAGATCAGGTTCCACTGTTTCCAGGAGTCCATGATATGCCCAGCAGGCTCTGTCCCAGAGGGGCAACCGGGAGCCCCTTCTCCCGTTCTCATCGTTGAAAAAATTTTGTCAATCACATTGAAAGACCAACTGACCAGGTCCATTTTGAATAATTTCCAGTTTCCAGAAAAAATGCAGATGTGCCGTACACCCAAAGACAGACAGAGCCTTGGGGATAAGATAGGGAGGATAGGAGGAAAAAAGTGTCTGTACTCTCTACGAGCCGGAAGAAATATTGAGAATTATAAAGTTTCTGGGTATAAAAAAGTAAACATCGAGCCTTCAGCACCAAAGCAGAACTGAGTCCCACAGCCGTTATACTCAACATCTATATTATCTTTTTGTTTCACTTTTGTTCAGCTGCACAACAACAAAGGTAATCCGCGACATGTCAGCTTCACTGACCACATTCTACATGTGCTCATTTTAATGGACACAAGTCAGCTTCTATGATAAAGCCTGTGGTTAGTTCACCTATTTCTCTGTCATAATGTGAGACAGTATTTGAAGTCTGTGGGAGAAAATGCAATAAAGTGTAATCCTGCAAAATGTGGGACAGCCCGTGTTTCATAGAGACTCAGGCTCCAAACAGGTGCTGAACCTAGAAAACTACATTTGTGTAAACATGACTTATATGGTCGGGTCTCCTACATAAAAAAATTCTTCCCAGCTGAACATCTAAAAACATGGTCACATGCTGACAGCCCAGGCATTGCTCTGAGGCTCGTTAATCAGAAAGGAAGCACAGAGTTCAGATGCTAAATAAATATTCTGCCTGATCACCAAAATAAGAGTCTGACTGTAAAAGCCTTGTTCTGGCTGCCACGGGTGTGTCTTTCATTCATTATATTCCATGAGACATCCCCGCCGCTTAGGACGTGACAAAGGCCTCAGACTGAATTAAAAGCTCCTATTTAATGGAATGAAATAACATGAGGTCCTGTCAAACAATGAATAAAAGTATAAAGAGCTCTGCTCCCTCCATTGATGTGTCTTCCTATTTGTCTCCGTTTTAAAAGTCAAAGTCATTAGAGTGCAACACACGGATTCATTATTTGATGCTCATGTTATATTGGACATGGCCATCCTACAGGAAAGGATCATTCACACAGCAGAGACGAAGGTTCACTCACCGGTGTTTGGGTCGACAGAAAAATATGGTTGTCCGTCCAATATGCTGTAGACGAGTTTTGCGCTGTTCCCATACACTGGATCATCAGCGTCTGTGGCTGTTACCCTGGTAACCGGGGTACCTGTGAAGCAGAAGAACAGAGTTATGGACTGCAGCTCCACAGGCAATCATGTCTGCATAGCTGCAAACCGAAAAGTGGAAGTTCTGAGCCAATCAGGAGGAGACTATTCAACCCAATGTGGGGTTGATTGGCTCAGAAATCTGGTCCATCTTCTCTCATGCGGAAATCAGAACCCTGAGGGTCACTTTTCTAAGCTAAAAATGTAAAATTACACAGTTTTATCACATTTTAAATGGATTCGTCTTTGCTCTCAGCACAGTAGACACATGCTTGGTCCTGTGGTCATGTTTTAGGGCAACGATTTTGAGTGGAAAGTTGAAAGTGCACCTGGTGAAGTTTGCACAAGATGATCAACACTGGCATGATTTGGGCCAAAACCAACCTCTGATGGGTTAGGTAGAGCAAACTACATCGTGGAGTCAGTTAAATAACAATATGGCACATAAACACACTTTCTGTTGACCAGATGAGACTTACAACTGCTGCAGTTGCTTTGCTTCATTGTTAAGAAAGATAGCAGACGGCAAAAGTGCAACTTAAAACACAATAAACCTTTGTGGCCTTTATTATATATAATTATAGTTACTATAAATAATAATATTAATAGTCTGGTTGAGAAAATTGTAAAAACTTTGACCAACCACTTTATGTAACGTGATAAGGTGTCATTAATAGAATTAATTACGCAAATGACTCATTTAATGCTGGATGTGCCTTGTTCTGAGTAGGTGGTAGCTTCATGCCTTCTTGGTAAATCCTATTTTGTTTTCGAAGTTAGACTGGGCTGACATTCGGCTTCTGCATTAAATACTAAACCTGATCTTGACAATTCACACGTGGCAAAAAACATCCAATTTTGGTTATCTCAAATTCTAATTCAGTTTATTGCCATTCAAACGAAGATAAAATTATTTATTTAAAAGTTTTAGCATTGTTGTTTCAATATTTGTCATTGATTACAATGAAAATCATCAACATAGATGGATTTTAACCTCAAAGTGAGCTTTGGATGTAGGTCTAGAACCGGAGCAGCTCCATTCAGGATGGTTGCCACAGTTTTACAGCCTCACCCAAAACAAACAGGTTTGTAGTTCAGTGACTTTTACAGTTCATGAGGTAATAGCTTTGGAGTCATAGTTGTTTGTTACTGAAACATCTCAGTGAACCTCAACTGGCAACCCGCGGGCCACATCTGGCTCGCCATATCATTCCACCCGGCCCCCCAACCCTTAAGTCCCCTATGGGACTATGAAATTTAGCAGCAATTTTCATGTCACGAGTATCTATAAAAATGTGAAGCGGCACCTTTAAAGACATTGCAGAATCTTGGCTACAACGCCATATAAACCTTTTTTATGATCTCCAAACACAACTTAAACTACAATCAGAAGAATGACCAGAAATCATGCTTCATGTGTGAGTGTTTTTGCCACATTTCTGTATCTAACGCTGCTAAAAATCCAATTGTACACATATTCTATCCACCCATGATGAAACTAAGACCCTACTGATTCTAGACATGTTTCTCACAGCTGTCTACACTAGCTAATGTCAAGATGTTAAATAAATCAAAATTATATCAAAGTACTCAAATGGACCTTGGGGTTACAGAAATATGCTCGTTAAAGTGTGTGTGTGTAATTTTCCAACACATTCTCACACCCGAAGCGTAGAAAAATAATGGTGGGTGACCAAGCGTTGGTTTCTGATGCGTTGGAAGCCCTAGCGCGTCGGGAGCTGATGCGCTGTGTCGGAGTGTTGTTCTCCGACTGGCGCAATAAAACAGAGATTTCACCGATTTGTGACCTTTATCCTCTTGCTATTTAACCTTCCCCTCACCCCATCCTAACCTTAACCCTCTTACGCATGCAAAACTTGATTTCTAGTCGTAACATCCCTCTTCAACATGGTTAATGGGGACTTTAGAATGAGAAACTAGGTTAAGGTTAGGATGTGGGTGAGGGGAAGGTTACATAGCAAGAGGTTAGAGGTTAAATGTTGGTTAGTTTTGCGTTTTTCCGCGGGTGTTGGAAACCAATGCTCTGGAAACAAATGCGTGGCCACCCATCGTCATTTTGGAGAAAATGTGTTGAATTTTCAAGTAGCTTTTTCAAAAATAGGCTGTGGACCAATGAGGAATAGAGAACATGCATGTTCTACTTTGTTTCTAAATCAAATAAAACACACTGAGCCTTCAATCAGAAATCAGAAATGACCACAAAGTCAAAGCTATCAATATTTGTTTTTATCTGCAGTAATTCTCAGAAAGTCCTTTTTTGAGCTGTCGACTATATTAGCACACAACTGCTGTGTTTTGACAGAATGCAGTATTTACCTAGTTAATAGGCAGAGCAAACTAAACTAAACACTGAAAAAAGGGGAACTTGATATAATAAAGATTAAAAAATTATGATACAATAATAACTAAACTTTATTTTAGAAGAGCATCTGGCCCTCAAACTGTCAGCTGAAACAACTCTGGCCCTTGAACCGATTCAGTAGAGGACCCCTGTCTTAAATCATCGGATGATGTCATCCATACAAGTCATTATTGGAGCTACATCTACGGAGTGACTTCTGGAGTCAGGACAGGCACCATGGGCAAAACACACAAAAAAGGTGTCAAAAAGGCGAGATGTTGTAATACACAGGTGTCATACTCAGGCTCTCAGTCCAAATTTGGCCTATGGTTTATTTTTATTCGGCCCGCGAGATCAAATACCGAATACATAATAAAAACTGGCCCACCGGCCGTTGTTTTGCCGCAAAATATTACAAATCCCATAGTGCTTTGCGCCGTGAGCATGTCATGAAGCACCCCCCCCCCCCTTTTCTGTTTCCAGTCATTAGCATCCATGCCACTATCGGCTTCAGCAGTGTTACCTTCTCAGTCTTGCACACACTGAAAACACTCTTCTTAGTGCCATTTCCTCAGCGATTTTCCAACTTTTAACGCCAGAAAGGAAGATTCCGACCTCTCTGGCATCTGTTCGCGTCCAACCAGAAAGCACACCAACTTCCTGATGGATCTGATTGAACTCTAGTTTAGCGACACGTTCAAGTCAGAGTATGACTCTGTGGCTGCTGCAGGTTTTATCATGCCTCCCCGACACAAATGACCCAACGGCGTGGTCAAGCTGCTCAGATTATCTCCAAGTTCAGAAGCACATATATCCATGTGAACAACTGTTGTCTGTGATGAAGATGAACAAAACAACACAGGAGCCTCACTGATGGACACCTTCCTCCGCTGAGAGCCCAACCCCAGAGATGCAGGTGTCTTGCTAAAACAGGTGAGCATCGGAGTGAATCAGACTGGAGAAAACTGATCTTGAATTATTGAGGTTTTAAGCACTTTTTCTGCTCCAAAGCATGAAAGTTGATGTAAGAGAATTACTACTTTTTTGGTTTTTGTTGTTGGCCTGTTAAAAATATTTAACCTACGTTAAAACAGCAACTGGAAAGATTACAGATAGATGAATAGAATAGAAATAGAATAGAAAATCCCTTTATTGTCCATCAGTGATGACAGCTTGGTGTCACTGCAGCAATTACAATTTATACAGGAAGACATAAAATAGAAATACTTAAATAATTGAAAATATTTTAAAAATTGCAGAATATTTACACATTTAAAGGAATAAAAAGAAGAAAAAATTGAGACATAAGTAACAAATACCACTGAATTGTGTTTTTTTTATAAGTAACTATTTTGTGTGTAATGTGGTTATTCCACATTCAGTGTTAATGAAAAAATAAGTTTGTTTCCAAATTAAAAGTTTCAACAAAAAACATCTGCAGATAAAGGAGAATGTGACATTTGCGGTCATTTTTTCAATAAATAATGAGTTTGGGCTGCGTCTTCATACTAGTTTTTATTTTGGTTCAGTATGAATCTGAGTTGGACACTCCTTCTGTAATAGTATGTTATTTTCAAGATTTGACTAAAATTAATTTTTAAATGAAAACAGCTTTTAGTTTAGAACTCTTGCATGAAGGTGGAATAAAGTGTTCTAGTGGCCTTTGAATATTACACGTTTGGTGGATAGATGTACATTTCATCCATGGATTTTCCTCCAACAATGATCAGCTCCAGGAATAAGGTTTACTATCAAAAACAAATTTATGCAAGGACCTTCATCCATATTGCGTCAGCACCAAGTGCTCAGGCCAAATCAGAAAAGAGATTAGTGCCAATTCAGTTCTCCATTCAGAGCTGCATTACTGGGTGTCTGGGAAACAAAAACACTTAGAATCTGAATATAAATATATTATTAAAACATTTCAACCCATTCAGTTTTAATTCAGGATGAACTAGCTCCTTGGTGGTGGGCGTGTGGTGGCGAGTGTGAGAGGAAACGGCAGGAATGCTGCAGACGGTATGGTGAGTGTTTGTGAAAGACGTTGAGACGCCTCGTGCAGACGGCTCAAGTCCTGCCACTGGCGACTGAACGTGTCCGCTGCAGATGAAACAGCTTAGAAAGACCCATGCCAAGTTTGTCTTCCGGTTCCAGCACCGCCATTAAAACTGTTTCGTTACCAATAAAAAAAGGTTGAAAATTCTTCACCAGATCGCCTGGCAAAGTTTGCGTAGTGCAACCCAAGAATCCACATGGGACCCACTGCTTTCTAGTTGTCTAAAAGAGATCAGAGCTAGGTAAAACCTCCAAAATCACACCAGGAGGGCAACATCCGTGTTGCACTTTTCCTATTTTATACACAGCTCTGTGTTCCTCTTCCTGTGCCGTCAGCTACACGTGTCAAGCATTGATTAATAGTCACCGCCGCGTCTGCGCTATTGTAACAGCAAAACAGAGCAAAAGCCACCTTTGCACTCTAACTGGAGTAGCAGTTTCACTGTTGCAACCCAATTATTTCACAGTGAGGGAGCCTCAAGTGGTCCTCTGAGACAGAGGTGTTCTCGTAATTCATAGTCTTATGATGACCCGTGCTGTTGTGTTGCCAAAGCTTACCGTGTAAATTTCACACCGCTTGTTATG